GGAGTCATTGTGAATACCCTCTAAATTTCTGTGTAGATTCAGTGCAGTAAATAAATTGGTAACCAAACTGAAGGTGAGATGGGTATAGTCATAGTCTGAATTTGTGCATAAATTAGGGGTCTGTGGACCTTTTCTTGAATGGGACTCCTAGATGTTCCTGTAGCATAAGCAGGTACTGTAATACTTGCTTGTGACCTTTTTTTTGCTTGATAATATCCTATAGCACAATCACCATATATGTATGTGATAGAGACATATCATCTGTTGCTTTTACACCTTCACTGTATTCCAGCTGTGGATTTAGCCACTGAGTAATGAATTTCCAGTATAACAGTCTTTAATAAAGGGAAAGGGTGTCTGTTAACAAGCCAGCTGTACTCATAAACAGGGGAGCTCAGTGATGATTGTCCTCAGTGTTGTGAATTGCAGGGATTTTCACTGGGTGTATGCACCATGCTGTGATTGCAGTTTAATGTAGGCTTACAGGAACTAACTTTAAAGTACAAGGCAGTCTAGCCATGGCAGCACAGAGCTCAAAATACTGCCCATAAGATGTAGAACTACAGAAGGAGTTAAGCTGTAGTTCTTCTTCTTGCTGCTGTCTAGCTTACTAGTGGGGAAAAAAAACCCACAAACCAACAACAACAACAAATGAAATGAAAATGAAAAACAAAGGCTTATGTGGCTATGTTGTGTGATCGTACAGAACTGTTTCCCTTGTAACTTAACTTTTCAATCAAGCATGGTGATCTTTTGTGATTGTTTTTAACTGTTAACTGTAACAACTATATCCCACTGAACTGCAAAAGCTTCTCTAATTGTTGAAATGAAACAGAAGGTGCTGCTAGTAGTAGAGCAGATATCTATGTGGAGACTTGGAAAAGCTTATTTTCATGCCCTGTTGCAATTTTTGTGAAGGAGCATTTAACATTTAATGCACTCCCCTGTTAGAAATTATTCTAAATGCTTAGTTACTCAACCTCGCTACTTTCAGCTGTCTTCTGTTCTTCCCAGTTTCTTCCTTTATAACCAATCCCTAGCCTCATTTCTGCTTTATATTTTCCCCCAAAATTCACCTAAGCTTTCATGTCTTTAATGTGTTCTTGTAGAGTCCTGTACCAGCAAACTAGGTAAGTCCTTGGCTGTCTACATACTCTTTATTTCTGTAACCATTTGGCAGGATTTGCTCGCATAGAAATAGTATCTGGACTGACCCTATAAAAATAGGACTTACCAACCCATTAAAGGGATGTAATGTTCCTGCTTTTTTCTCCTGTGGTCAGCAAGACAGTTAATATTTTACTTGCTAGTGAAAATGAAAGCAGGTATTTGAAAAAAAGATAACCTATGATCATGGTTCTAGCTTTTGAGTGAGTAAAGAGTAAATGAGCCATCACATCAGTACAGGTAGCCCTGATGGGGTGTTTAGTTGGAGTGATCTGCACTGGTGGCTTTAGTAGTGTGAAGGGCCATACTTGGCTAACTTAAATTCTGCTTGGATCACTGTGTCTGTTTGTTGGAGAGGGGAGGACACTTTGGCAGTGTCTGAATTGTCTTTACTGGATCCTCTAAGTTACATTGAGGGGAACTGTTTGAAGCCAGCTAGTAGGAAACATTGTGGCCAAAATATTTGGATGGCATTCAGGCTGCCTGGATATGGCACTACAATCTTTCAGGGAGAAGATGGTGAGACTTCACTGGTGTCTGATCATGCCTGTAGCACTCTGGAGTAGTCCAGAAGTCATATGACTCTACCAATGTCAAAACAAGCCTGAGAGGCTGTGAGCAAGGGGCAAAGGTTGGTGACTTGCTCAGCAAGCAGTGGGAAGAACAGTGGATGGTGGCAGGAGGAGCTGAAGAGATAGCTGGAAGATTTGGTAAGGTGTGTGGGAAGGGTGAAGGGGGAGGAGTGTTTGGGCGGATTGGAAAGACAAAGGCTTTTTAAGGGAGAGGAGATGTCACCAGGAGACTCTGGACAAAAGGCTGCCTCTTCAAAGTGTGATGGCTTTTTTCTTTCTTGATCCTGATACAGACATGACTTTGCTAGAATTGAAGCACAGATTTTTGGCTTAACAAGCACAATATACTCTCAGAGAATATGGAGCAAGTCAGATGAAGAGGATTGTTGCCAACCCCTCTTTCCTGCTGACTGTTCATTCTTACGTTCTCATGCTTTGCAATTTGCAGCCTGGGGTTTTTGTTGGTGGTGGTTGTTTTGTTTGTTTTATTTTTGGGGGTTGGTTAGTTGGTTTTTTGGGTTTGTTTGTTTGTTTTAATTTTGGTTGGGTGTTTGTTTTTTAATGTAGCTGTCCTTTTCAGATGATCTGTAGGTCTGTACTGTTAAGCAGATTGATGAAATGGTTCATGTTTAAAAAAAACCAAACCAAAACATACTAGTCCTGGGAAGAACTTATGGACAAGTTACCTGCTTTATAATGCACCTCCACAAAGTCACAGGACATGAGCTGTAGTGTGACCTTAGCAGAAAACAGAACTAGGGGAGCTTCTTGAGCTAACTACATGCTGGGGAACTTGTATTTTGAATCTCCTTCTGCACAGGAAGGAGGAAACAAATCCATGTGAAGTTATAACAAAATGGCAGCATTACTGGTGTGCAGCGAGATGTGAAGCTAAGAAATGGGGCTTATGAGGAGCAGATATGTAGGTTTCACTTCACAGCCTTTTCACTCTAAGAAGATGGAATGATTGATAAGAAAGTAAGGACTCTGGTGGAGTTACAGGATAGGTGGATAATGTGTGTAATAACACAGTTTGCTTGGTGCCAGTCTTCTAGAGGATTTATTTTCAAATATTCATAAGTATTTCTAGTTATAGTACTTAGTTGTAGTGTCATTTTATAAGTACTGTAATTGCCATATGTTTGTAATAGTAACAGAACACTTAAAAAGTTGTAACTGTCTGTCTGTTTAACAATGCAGTAATTGCAAAGGAAAACTCCGAAAGAATTTTCATCAATCAGATGACAGAAAAGTGGTGGAAACGGTTAAAAATCCAGCTGATATGTTTAGTAAGGATCTCTGGTATTAAGGATTTTTCCTGTATCCTCAGTGTCCTCATAGGGTTGTTAACCCTAGAGACTCTGTAACTGTATGCTAATGAAAAAAAAGAATCTTCTTGGAAAAAATAACCTAGTAGGGATAGCAAGGTAAATCTGTTTCTCTGTGGTTTCAGTCACATACAGAGGAAATAGCCCATGTAGATTGTGCATCCTGAAGGAGGCTCAGGAAAAGTTCTCTCCAGTCTGGAGGAGATCTTGGATCTCCCCCTTGGTTTTCACCTCCTGGAGTATAACCCCACACAGTCAACCAGCAGGATCTGAGGGAAATGCAATTTATGGAACTAGTGAAGGGAGATTTACATTTAAATCCCAGTAACTCAAGGAAAAGATACCATTGTGTTGTGTAACAATTCAGTGTCCTCATTTTCTCTGGGCTGTTGTGTACTTTGATACTCAGTCAAAGCATGTGGCCTACTGATTATATGTATCTCACTGTAAACCAGGAAGGTTTTTGACATTACTCAGGATGGGAGTGTGACGTGAAAGACAACTACAAAATAGTGTCATCATTTTCTTCCTCATGCGGTGTGATCCAGCTCAGAGTCAGGAAAATCTTGTGATTGATATGACCTTTTTGCCAGTAGCTGCTCTTTAAAGCAACTTTGAAAAGATAATTTTGCTTATTGGTGTCTTGTGCTGTAAATGCCAAAGAAATATGTGCTCTGAGATAGAAACAAATTAACCAAGTTGTGAAATAAAAACCTTCATGAGCAATTTCAGAATCAAGAGATCTGTGAGCACTCTTAGAGTGTCCTGGCTGATAGGCAAGAGGTGCTAGTTTCTTGAAGACACAGTAGTTTGCAAACTAATTTTCTGTAAATCCATCTGAAGTAGAGGGGTGTGGGAAGATGGGCTGAAATACCTCTGAATGCTCTCTGTGAAAAGCTGTTTGTGGAAGCTGCAAAAACTCAGACAGTTGTGGTGTTCCTGAGGAGACCAAAAGGTGAAATCCTTAATTCATTACAGTCATAGTACTTTGAAACTCACCTGCTGGAAACTATATTCTTCTGCTGAAAGTGTCTCTGAGCTACTGCTGGCCTGTCTGGACTCTTCAAATGTTGACTATAGCAATCTCCCAGCCTCTGAAATACCTCCCCTAACCTAGGACTAATGCAGGCTGTGTTATGAGAGGAAGAAAACTGCAACCTGACATGCATTCACAAAGGAGGAGTCCTTATCCAGTTACCCTAGGCCCTTTTTGTAGTTAATAGAAAGAAAAGCAATTTTGGTATGAATATTTAGCGTTGATTTTAAATGTCCAACTCGAGGTGGATAATGACCAGGATTTTACCTTCATTGTTTCAAACTAGTGTGAAGTTTGCTTTGACTAAGAATGCAGTCACACTTTAACTGGTGAATGCAGGTTATTTGGACCTTCTCCTGGAAGGTGCAGAGCATCAGCAGTAGTTACTCAAGGTCTGTCTTTATTGCTTGAATGTACTCCAATCATTATTTACACTCTAAAGATAAGGATAAACCAATTTGCTTTGATTTGTATAGGAATTCTCTCTGTCTAACATGTTATTTTTTAACATATCAGCCAAAAGTAAGGTAGATGTTATCTTCTATCATTTTGTTACTGTTATCAAGCTACTAGAAGTTGTATCTATTTAAGGCTGTGTTCATTTTCCCATCTGTCTTTCTTACTTAATGTGACATTGGCAAATACACCTAGGAGTCAAATGAATGTGGTGCCGTGTGTGTAATCCAGTATGAAATACTACCTGCTGATATGTGATTAGGTTATCATGTGTGACTAGTTGTAGGTAAGCCCAATGCGTCAACAAACGTTACCACAGCCAGTGGATGTGCTACAATTATGATATTGCCTTTATTTTAAACCACATGCTTGCTGGTATGTTTCCTGTCTTGGTTAATCTTAGTTTTGTTTCTTTGTCTTGTCTTAGGTCAGAGGATTGAAACAAAACAATGGATTGGGGAGCTCTGCATACCATTTTGGGAGGTGTAAATAAGCACTCCACCAGTATCGGGAAGATATGGCTCACAGTCCTCTTCATCTTCCGTATCATGATCCTGGTTGTGGCTGCAGAGAGAGTCTGGGGAGATGAACAAGATGACTTTGTCTGCAACACGCTTCAGCCTGGCTGCAGGAATGTTTGCTATGATCACTTTTTCCCCATCTCTCACATCAGACTCTGGGCCCTGCAGCTGATCTTTGTCTCCACACCTGCGCTGCTGGTGGCCATGCACGTGGCTTACAGGAGGCATGAGAAGAAAAGGCAGTTCAGAAAAGGAGACCAGAAATGTGAATTCAAGGACATCGAAGAAATTAGGAAACAGAGGTTTCGTATTGAGGGCTCCTTGTGGTGGACATACACCAGCAGCATCTTTTTCAGACTGATCTTTGAGGCCGTCTTCATGTACGCGTTTTATTTCATGTACGATGGGTTCCGAATGCCTCGCTTAATGAAGTGTAATGCCTGGCCCTGCCCCAACACTGTAGACTGCTTTGTTTCCCGACCTACTGAAAAGACGGTGTTCACTATTTTCATGATTGCTGTGTCCAGCATTTGCATTCTTTTAAATGTGGCTGAATTATGTTACTTACTGACAAAGTTCTTCCTCAGAAGGTCTAAAAAAGCTGGAAATTCGAAAGAGCAGCCCAACCATGAGAATAAGGAAGAAACCAAACAAAATGAAATGAATGAGTTAATATCTGATAGCTGCCAGAACACAGTTATAGGGTTTTCAAGTAGCTAAGGCGGTGTTAATGCTGATGTTCACTCTTTTTGGAGTGAATGTTTAATTTAAAGGCTGCAAATGAAATTTGTTGTATGAAACAAAGTTGGGTGAGGTTTTGATGCATAGTGTCAGATGTCGAGTAGGTACATGTCTGGGAAAAGTCAGGGCAGCCTAAACATGTGAAAATTGTGTGAGGATTAAATAGGAAGATACACTTTCCTGTGAGTACCCTTACAAGCTGACTATGACAAGTGGGAAGCCCACTGCTACCTTCATGCTGACACAGCTCCTGAAAACTAAATGCAACAGCAATAAGAACAAAACTCTTTCCAAGCTAGGTATTCTAGTATTACAAGATGTTTTGTAATAGCGATAGTTTTTACTTGTGAACTGATGATTAAAATATTTTTCTAAAATCTAAGATTCCATGTTACTTAAGGTGTTATAGTACACAACTGACTGTGTTTTATTTCTTAACCAGGCACATGCAGATGAACCCTATAATACCATATTCATAGGGAGGAGATGGCAATAGGCTACAGACATCTTCACAGTTTTGCAAGTGCTGCTTGAGTCTGGGAAGGTAGCTGGAGATGCTTGCATACACACTGCTGGCTGTAGGGGAATTGTATGAAAGCCCACCAGTGTGGATAATTGAGATACCTAGATTCTGAGTGCAAACTCATGTCTAAAAACAGCTCAAAAATATAGTTACAGCCTATGTAGACTTGTTTAAACAGCTAGCAGACCTGGTAATCTTACTGATCTCTTAATTGCATACTGTCAATTTTATAGCAACTTACATAAGTTTATGTAGATGTTTATTTCTCTAATGTATTAGCTGTATTTGTTTCTTTATACTGTATCACATCATGGAACTTTTGGGGTTTTGATTTGTTTGCTTTTTTGTAGTAGACTGATGGTGCTGTTATGAGACTAGAGTCTGTCTAGTTTCAAGGACATGGAAAAGTATTCCTGGAAATGGAGCAAGTCTTCTGAATAAAAGGCGAACACTTCAACCTTTCTTAGTGAAGTGAGAGTCTGTATGTGAATGCTAGGCAAGATTTTAAGTAGGAACTTATAAAAAGCTTTTTCAAGTTGAGACTACATCCAAAGTGCGCATAACCCCTAGGCACCCCTCATTCCCATCCAGGGCACTGATGCCCTAATTCTGTTGTCCATACTCTAATGGAGATAGACAGGAAACTCTGAGTGTATGGCAGTATGTGGATGTGGGAGGGTGTGCTTGTGAAAGCAGGGGAACCTGGAAGTGAGAGGTGGGTGCAATGCAAAGCCGCTATATTGTCATGTGTGCTTCCTGTTTTGGGCTACTTCTCACCATCATGGATACACTGACTTCGGTAGAGCTAAGTTTTGGGGGTTGGTTTGTTTGTTGTCATTTTACAAATGGATTGGCCTCACTATTTTTGTATAATGGAACTACTCTTCCAAAGTGCAGAACAAAGAGCAGGTATCCTTAGGAGCAGATAGTGCAGAGTGCCCTTTTCCTCCTGCTTTTGTATCACATTTCTCACAGGTGCTAGCACAGCTCTGTGTGTCCATGCTGTAAGAGGGCTTCAGTGGGTTGGTTGTTTTATTTATGACTAGTAAAACCCTAACAGGGAGCAGGCACAAGCAACAGGAGAGAGAAAATACCTAGAGTCAGCTCTGTCCCTGCATGAGGGCCTGAGCTGAGCCCTGCCATTTATCTATTCTCTTCCACTGGCAAACTCCTGATCTTTCCTGCCTTCGCAGCACATTTTCTTTTTCAATCACTGTTGTGAAAAGAAATTGCTGCTAGTCTTCTGAATGTGTCTACCAGCAAGCTCGAGGAAAAAGTATACACAGCTATGGTATACTAGAGTCTATTATTCTCTCTGAAAATTTAAGAAAGCTGATCCCTTAGGGTCAGGAAGGTGGGTGCTCAGGCTATACCTTGCTGGATCACTCCCCAGGTGCACAAGCAGAGTGGTGGTTCCAAGGTGTGAAGATACAGCTAATTCTCTTCCAGGACTGTGTTTCATGGAACAACTTGAGACTTGACTTTCATCTGGGACATCTATGGATCACATACCATGTCGTGAATATGAATGGAGATCAGTTAATAATTATGCTTGACTGTGTCTTACCTCCTTAGTGATCAATTTGAAATAGCCCTATGCTGAATGCCAACAAACCTGTGAAATACCTTGAGGCAGATATGTTTTCCTCAAATGGAGGAGGAGTAGTTTTTTTTGGTCTATGATAATATGCAGGCCTGCAGAACCCCAAATGGGGATATGATGATAGCTCTCTCTGTGGTTTTCTTTTTCCTGCTCACAAGTTTTCAAACAGTGAGTTCTATTCCAACAGTTAGTTTTTTCTAGAATGTCAGTTCCGTGACTGCTTTTCTTTTCATCATGGGTAAGTGGGCAAAGTTTCAATGAATAAATCGGTTGTCTGTGGTCCTTTGTAGGCCAGCACAAGTCTGTGTGTGGCCATGCTGTAAATGGATTTGGTTGGGATGTTTCCTGTGTGGTAGCAGGACGTGGTAAGGTGCAGTCTGGCAACACTGCCCTGTTGCTGCGGTGCCCTGGCAGCCAGATGGGTTGGGAACAAATGTGCCAGTCCCTGTCGAATCTGCACCAAGGGCAGCTGTAAATCAAAGAGCCAGAGCTGATCCAAGGCTTCACTAGCACTAAGCTATTGATCATCTCAGCAGGCAAGACCAGTTGTGACTGATGTGTTTGGCTGCAATATTTCTTCTCATTCTATGTACAGCCTTCATTATGAACACTCTCCTCTGAAATATCCCTAATTTCTGTTGCTGCCAAGGTAAAGTCCCTGACAGTTTCAGTGCTCTCTTTAAATTATTCCTAGTAGATGGCACCATGATGAAATGACAGCTTTAGTGACTTGTTTCTCCAAGTCAGCTTCCCCCTGCCTGCTGCATTTTGTGGCCTCAGTAGAGGAGGCAGCTGTGTTTAGTAGGGTCACAGTTAACCCTTTCTGCAGGGAAAAGCCGAGCTGCTTTTCTTGGCTTCCAACTTCCTGTGCCTTTCCCTACTGGCTGAGGCTGACTGGGACTGCTCTGAGCTGCAAAGCATGCCTGCGCCCAGACATTCTCGGTGTTTGTCCTTGCTCCTGCCCTGCAGCTATCCCTCTGGGAGAGGGTCTCCCTGGCCCTCTAAATCTCTGACCTACTGGTGCCTGGTTTATACTGTGCTGGCACCACCATCCTCCCATGGTAGTCCAGCCAGTTTTCTCTGATGGCAGCTGGCTCAACTGTCTCTGCCCATCCCTGCTGCTGTTCCCCACCCTGTGATTTCTCCTTTGCTATGCCTGGGGCAGAGATTGCTTAAATTGGTTTTGATGCCAAACAATTAATCAGAGCCTCTGGAAAAGCTCTCTTGCAAATTCCCTGCATCCCCTCCCACCTTCTTGTCTTGCTGTCCTTTCAATAGGCAGGAGCTCTGACTGCCTACAAGGGCAGCAGCACTGGCTGCTGGACTCTATTCCTGTTACGCTCCATGGCCCTTGATTCCAGCACCACTGCAAACCCTGCTCCATCCTTCTGTCTCCCTCTCAGCCCAGCCCCATTGCAACTTTTGACTCTGTTTTTCCACTGACCTAGGCCCATCCCGGCAACCCTGCGTGCCAAACATCTAAAAGCAAATGAGACCAGCTGTGGGATGGTCTGAACCCGCTCTCCTCCTTTTGCTCAGTCAGGCTGCCTCCCCTGCACCAGGTGCTGCAGCCATGAGCTCTTTGCTGCCAGGTTAGAGTCACTTTGGCTCCCCAGCCCTTTTTGTGGTGTGTGTTGTGTCAGCCCAGTGCCTCACCCACCCCTGCCCTGCAAGAACATGCTGGGAAGCACTGCCACAGCCAATATGAGGCAAATCTCTGCTCCTAACTGCCTGGAATGTTTTTCTATTGCCACTGTTATCTGTATTTCCTTTACCAAGCCAAAGCTGTATTACAATCCCGCTGAAATAAATCTATTTCATAGAATTATAGAATAGTTTGGGTTGGAAGAGACCTTGAGAGGTCATCTAATACAACCCCATTGCAATGAGCAAGGGTATCTTCATCTAGATCAGGTTGCTCAGAGTCCCACCCAACATGACCCTGAATCTTTCTAGTGATGGGGCATCTACTGTCTCTCTGAGCAACATGTTCCAGTGTTTCACCACCCTCATTGTAAAAAATGTCATCCTTATATCTAGTCTGAATCTGCCCTCCTTTATTTTAAAACCATTACTCTTGTCCTATTGTAAGGGGCCCTGCTAAAAAGTTCATAACCATCTTTCTTATAAGCCCCTTTTAAGTACTAAAAGGCTGCAAAAAGGTCTCCTTGGAGCCTTCCCTTCTCCAGGCTGAGCAATCTTAATTCTCTCAGCCTGTCTTCACAGGAAAGACCTTCCATTCCTCTGACCATTTTTGTGGCCCTCCTCTGGACCCACTCCAACAGGTCCACACCTTTGCTGTTCTAATGACTTCAGAGCTGAAGCAGCCCTGCAGGTGGGGTCTGGGCAGAGCAGAGGGGCAGAATCCCCTCCCTGGCCCTGCTCCCACGCTGCTCTGGATGCAGCCCAGGATACCATTGGCTTCTGGGCTGTGAGAGCACACTGACAGCTCATGTCCAGCCTCTCACCCTGCAGCACCCCCAAGTCCTCTGCAGGGCTGCTCTCACTCCCTTCATCCTATGGATACTTAGGGTTGCCCTGACCCAGGCTGGCTTTGTTGAACCTCGTGAGGTGCCCATGGGCCCAGTTCTTGAGCTTGTCCCGATCCCTCAGGTGTGTCACTTGAAAACGTGTTGAGGGGGAACTTGATCCCACTGTTTATGTCTCATGTCACTGATGGAGATACTACAGACTATTCTGAGTTGCAAGAGACCCACAAGGACCATGAAGTCCAACTCTTAAGTGAATGGCCCACATTCAGACAGACCACCTTGGTGTTACTAGCACTATGCTCTAACCAACTGAGATAATCTCAGTGGCTTAAATTAAAGGTCATATGGTTTTGAAACCGCCTGCCATGGCAGAGGAAAGGGGATATTAAACAGTGTGGTCCCAATATGGAGGTGGTTCCTGAAGGACACCACCTTTTACCAATTTCTTTTGGGACATTCAACCACTGACTGCTCCTTTTTGGATATGACCATCCCAACCTATTCCTCATCTAGTGAACAGCATAGCCATTAAATCTACCTCTCCATTTCAGAGAGAAGCATGTTGTGAGTGACTGTGCCAAAGGCCTTACAGAAATGCAGGTAAATTACACCTGTAGCCCTTCCCTAGTCCGCTGCTGTAGTCACCCCATCACAGAAGGCCTTTGGGTTGGTCATGCAGGACTTGCCCTTGGTGAAGCTGTGCTGGCTGTTTCAAATCACCTCCCTGTCCTCCATGTGCCTTAGCACAGCCGTGCTCTCAGAGAGCATGGCCTCTGAAGCCAGAGGGATTGTCAGGATGAGATCCTACCCCACAATGGCCACTGCTGTCCCCTCAGGTGGGCCCATAGGCAGAGACCGTCTCCACCGCAGCAAACTTCTTTGTAGGGACATTGCATGGGGCTGCAGTGAGAGCGTGCCTGGTGTGGCAGCCTTTCTCCTGCCAGAGGCAGTGTGTACACCTGTTTCCCTGAACAGCCCTGTATTGTCAGGCTTGTATTTCTCAGCTTAGGCAGGTAAAGGTGGATGGCCTCCTTTCAACTTTCACAGGAGCTGAAAATTGGCTTCACAAAAAAAGATGGGGGTAGGGTGCAAATAAGATTTCTGCAGGTTCCCACCCGCTTGTCCCTGCACCCCTGACACTGTTCTGGAGTACGACTGCTTCTCCAGCACACAAGCAGAGCCGGGTGGCTTGGGTGGACTTCTCCAGAAAGAAGCACCCAACACTGTGATTGACACACAAAGCAATGGACAGGTGGGTCCGTGGGAGGAAAAGACAGGGAGAGGTTCTTGCAGAGCCCTGACTCAGCCATCAAGTCCCAGCAAGGGCTCCAGTCAGCACCCTGTTTCATCCCTGGCAAGAG